ATATAGTATTTGTAGTTTATTTTGTGTGTACATGTACATATCAATATATGTGTTCGGAACCCTCTAACGGCTATATGTAGGCCAACAGCACTATAGGAAAATCCAGATGAAAGGAAATCACATAGTTTATCTAGAATAAACCAAGATTCCATCAATAATGGAAAAGAAAGATAAATCTAAGAAATGCGGGTGTGGGCGTGGGTGTGGGTGTGGGTGTGTGGATGTTGGTGTGTGGGTGTGGGTGTGGGTGTGAGTGTGGGTATTGATATTAGTATCAGGATCGTTCTTATCGAAAAACCACACCCACACCCTGTTTCCAGTAGGATGCGGTCGGAAATCATCGAGAAGAAATCCGAATTAATTCCCGACCGAAATGCTGCTTCCATGTTCCGTCGATTTCTGGTGTCTTCCTGTAGGATATGATGATTTTTCCGCCGGTTGCTTCGGTATCCTGAGGCCGGAGTTAGCGTCCTGGATAATATCGGATCAAATCCAACCGTTCCCGCTATTACTTCGGTTACATTTGACATGTTTTTGAACGGTTCGAAACTGAATACGCTATGTTTCCTTAAGAAGTCTTGCGAGGATATGTTATTTTTCCAAGACGATTCCGGACACTGGACTTGTTCGGAAATGAAAGGATCCGGCACTGTGCTTTCCAGACAGAAATACTGCTTCCAGTTTCCCAATATTGTCCGTCCGGTTTCTGGGGAGAATACACAGGAACCTGCTGGAATAAGTTGGAAATAGCCTTGTTCTGTGTTGGATCCGTAGGCTGGAATTATCGTCCTGGGTAGACATTTTGTATATTGTTAACTGGTGTCAACAAATTTCCAGTTCTAGAAAAAGAACAGCATAGTTGAGTTTTATAATGCATACGCTTGCAGAACATTAAAGAAAGTACTGCAAAATACTCGTACATTGTTCTATAAGTTTTGAGTATTTCTAGGAAGCGATTGACAAAAATCAAGAAAGAAAAATTGTTATATGTGGAGTGCATGCATTCGTGAGTTTTTAGGTCAACTATACTTTCTATAATAATATTCCTTCTCCGCATATTATTACAAAATAGTACCATTTGCTTTTATATTCTTGAGATAGGCAATACATAATGTTTGAAGTAGACAGCATTCCTAGAAAAAAAAACAACACTTCAGACATGGGAAATAGAAAATCTCAAAATTTTAAAAGGCATTTGAAATTTCAAAACAAGCTCCTAGATATTGTTAGCAGATATGGCACATTACTTGCGTAGATGATACAGTTTTAATGTTCGTTGATATGTATAAAAAACGTTTTCGAATTCATTATTACTTAGTGTTGAAAGTTCTTCTTTTTCATTTGTCGTTTCTTCATCTTATCTCAAATACTCTTCAAATACATCTTTAAAGCTCTGAAGAAAAGTTTCTTTGCGTTTTGACAGTCTAGATAAATTTAAAAAAAAACAATTTTTAATTAAAGAGTCGACAAATTCAAAGCGAAACTGACTTTATCAATGAATTTCAATGAATCACCAACATATTTATTCAATAGAATTTTCATAGTACCTGTTCTCATATTAATATTATTCTAAAGAACTTCCGTGCGATAAAAGCTTTCAGTACATAAATTTATTTTGTTAGAAATTAAGTTATTAACGTTTAAAAGTTGAATGGTTGTATTCAATAAGAAATGAAGAACAGATAAAATGGAAATTAAGCTGACTATAACAGCCAGCACATATGAGTCACGACCGAACTTGCTCAATTTCGAATGTGTTATAGAGAGAAGAGTTTTACGAGTTTTAAAGCAAGCTGTTCGAAAGAATATCATTCCGTTCTTGAGATATTTATAATTTTCTCAGCATATCATAGTCAAAAAAAGCACTTTTTTAATGATTCTTTGGTGATATATTCATATATCACCAAAACTTGATCCGTTTGGCATGAAACTTTCACTGTGCTAACTCATTGAAGCTATGTACAGATCATGTAAAAACAAGTTCAAACTTTCATTAGCACTATGTGATAGTGACAAATACATAACCGTTAGAGTGTTTTTCGTTCTGTATGTGTAGGCTGTTTTGAACTAGCAAGTTACCATATTTTACTATACACTACACCATCACACTTCTTTCTGTTATTTTTCGATGATAGCGATATAGATTGAAAGCATCCATCCTCTTCTGTGGAGTATTGAGCATGCGCTCATATGCTGGAGTGCTAAGTTTCTCATGCTTTTCCTTAGCTCATGGACTTGGTAAATGTATGTATATATACTCGCTCAAGTACGTTCTATCCAAGTATTAGTTTATAGTTTCGTTAAATCTTTTTACCGTCCTCTTAAGAAAATAGCTTGAGAAAAAATAACAGCTTTTAATTAGAGAATATTATAGAATCAACCCTTCTTTTTAACTTGAATCATAAACGTATGTAAAACTAGTTTTCTCCACGATATATGATTCAAAAGAGTCTCGAATAAGAGCAGTTTTCATTAATTGCTACAAATTTTCGTTAAATTCAAATTTCTTTTCTACAGTTCAAACAATTGTAACGTTTTGATTATCACAAGAAAGAGCAAGAAAATGACTCCAACAATATTGTTTCAATACTTCGTTTACTAGACAAATTTCAGTTGATCATTTGCGACTTATATTTTCATCGTATATATTTTTAATAGTATTGTTTCATTTCTACTTGGAAAAATGATCAACAAAATCATGTAACAACGCACATATGTAAAGAGGATTTCTGTGCTAAATCGTTGTATTTATTATAGAGCTTAAAATATGTATTAGCGATAAGTTCTTTACAAGTGTGAACGGTATTGAATACTCAAATCTATATAGTGTGCATCGTATTAACAAAATTCTGATAGCATAAAAGATACCACAACGAAGGAGTAGGCAAAGAAAAGCTAATAAATTTAATCGAGAGTGAGAAAAGATGATCTCTTGCAAAAAAGGGACGAAGATCAACAATGTTAAAATTTTTACTGGCATCACATGCAATCACACTGCACACATCCATCCACCAAACTCACACCCTCAAGTTTCAGCAGTAAATGTAAGGTATCAGAAAGGCAAGACGCGAGCAGACACAAAATTTTTCTCTTAATCTCCATCGTCGGATAGTTCTTGTCGAGTGGATCGAATATATGTTCTAAACCGTTAATTGATTTGCAGTTGATCCGCATATACATGTGTAATCATCACCATAAACACCACCCTTATCATAACCACGATTTCTGCACCATACATCACTTGTACAGCCGTCTCCTAGCATTGGTAAATGAATGATTCGATCCTTTGTATTTCACAACTCTTTAGCTATCTTTACCTATGTCTTCTTTTGTTAATTCATTCATTGAACAAATACATGTATGGCCGTTTCCGCATACTCCACATGATTTACCTTGTCCATGACACCATGCAGCACATCCTCATGTTTTACCTTCGGTGAACTCTAGAAGATAATCAAATTGTTTTATTAGCGAAAGTCACCCTGCATTTTCATCGAACAAGAATGTCTATATACCATCACCTTGGAAAGAAACTCTGTAATTCTACTTAGGAAACAATCTATGGTTTAATTGAGTGAAGCCATACTCTAAGATATCATAAAAGAGGTTGAAAAACATTTTCATAACGTTATTCGAAATCGGTTCAGGATAACTAGTTATCTATTCTTGACTCTATCGTAATATACAATATGCTCGAACGGAAAGCGATTTCATTCAATAAGAATGTTGCATGCAGTATATTTGTGTGCTTTCAGTTTGATTCGTGTCTGACAAAAACTAGATAAGAGCAATATATAATTTGGGTCTGGCTATAAGTAGGGATGTCGGCGCCCGTGTGTGCCCTGCTACAAAGAAACAATGTATTTGCATCCCACACGTCTGACACATCTCCAATAGATAAAAGGAAAAAAATCGTGAGCAAAAAAAATGATCATCATGCCAAACATCCTCTGATCTTTATTGTCTTTCAATCATTACATAAAGAAAGAGACATTCAGAAATAAATTAAAATGTGATATAAATCACATTTTAGGTTTGGATTCTGACCTTTATCTTCTTCTTGTTATTTTCTAAGCGCTAAGTCAACTTACCATCTGCGGACGGAGCATTAGTCCCATATAGTGCTTGAATACCATGGCGATCCTGAAAGTCATTGAAAATCAGAATGTTTCATCCATTATTAGCTAATATATTTGTCTAGATGAAACATTGTTACGTACATTTTCGGGAAGAAGAGCTTCTGGTTGCATGAGCTTATAGTATGGCGCCATTATTGATGATTGGTCGCTAGAATGTTCTAGTCCAAGAGCATAAGCTATTTCATGAGTCGCTACAAGGCGAAAATTTGCATCATTATTGTCATATCTAACGAGAAAATTCTTGTGTATATTATTCAAAGATTAATATTTACCTCTGCATCCATGTTTCTCCCGGATCAAAACGAATCCTTCCGTCAGTTGGAAAAAATGCGTACGCCAAAAGTTTACCTGGTCCATCAGCAGCAGAATCGTCATTACTCATAAAAGCCAAATTAAAATCGGCCTTCTCATGTTGTAATACTTCTTTGAACGTTATCGGTGCGTACTTGGCCCAGTCATTAAATGACTCTCGAAGCTGTTCACTAGTTGTTCTTCCACCAAAACGTGGAAAGTTTCTATCAGCCCATTTCCATGTAAAAGATTTCTTGGGCCTAAAAAAATCTCGATTCCTCAAACTCAATAAGCATCATGAGAGTAAAGTTTAAGTCGATGAAAACAAGTACAAATAACGTTGAGTTTGGGTTAGTGACAATTAATAAATGGATATTAATGAATAAAAGATAATTTCATAAGATATTACATCAGCTTTTTCCTATTTATCACAAAACACTACTTTTAATATTCATTGAATAATCTTACTATGGACTTGCTAGTTTAAATGCAAGTGGATGGTCTCTGACACCGCATCGAGGACTATGCATCAATTTCAATGTTCCCTGATCAAGTTTTCCAGTAACTGCTAATTTATATCTTCTTTGAAAGCCTTTTAACATCGATTCTAAGTTTGATTGACAATGAACTGGTTTTTTATTGCTATTTTTTGATCCATTTTTATTTTCACATGAATTATAGCCGTACTTTGTTAGATACGTGAAGGCATCTGAGTTTGATTCAACAGAAGATGCAATTGCACGTTTTGTTTCAGGCTTGTTTGTCGATTGATGCATGGACTTTGCAGCTGTGTTGTGTGGAGTGATTAAAATCAAGAGAAATAAAACCGATATAATCAATAAATTCTTCGGCATTGCCAACGAATGTAAAGATGAGATAAGAACAAATTTCTATTCTTTCTCGCTTGCTTGATAGTATATATACGGTCTTCTCTTCTGTATGATACATAATAACGTATGGGAAAATCCCAATAGTATGTGTTAATAGAAGAACGAGAAAAAGGTCCATAATATTTGGTATGATAATGACGATATCTGTGTCATATAACAGACAGAAAAATAACTGTTTGGTGGTATGTTTTCTACTTAAATGGAAAAACCCATGTACAATCATATTTTGTCTTCCTATGTCGTGTAAAACGGTTCGTAAACTGCTATAAACCACTTGAAAACGGTGAGAAGCAGCTGTCGTCACGATGATTGTCGATTTCACACTGTTTTTCATCATTTACGGCGATAATAACGCCGCTTTTTCACCGTTTTAGGCAACTTAAAACGTCGTTTCAGACGGTCAGAGAATGATCGACTTGGGTTATAACCAACCGCTTCTGATGTCCTCATACGAGAACAATGATATATTGCTTCCTTTAGATACTTTTTAAGAGTATCCAAGCAAATAGAACACTGGTACAGTCAATCTTTCTAATAAAAATAGCTATCGCGGATGTTTGAAGAAGCTCCTTTGTTACAAAGTAATTTTAGATGGAAATGAAGATCTTTTTATTTTTTTGTGTATAGAAATGTCTATTGCATTGAATGATGCTAAAAACATTGAGCTATCTTGAAAAATAAAAAGCAATCAGTGGTAGTTTGTCAATAATTAAAATAACTAAATTAGCCGACTTTTCCATCTGAACTTTGAAATTTCGATATACTTCTGAAACAAAAACTATTCCTTATCAATTAAAAGACAAGTAACGCTCGTTCGTGTGACTCACTTGACCCTCGACTGAATATTCAGCTGCTATAGTGTTATATACTGCTTTATAGTCTTCAACAAAGCTCGTATCCAAAGTTTCAAAAAGGTGGGTAAGCGTGTAGAAGTTGATTTTAGCATCAGTTTCCTCATCCATAATGGTATGCGGATCTGTGTGATCATTTTTGTCATAGATTCATCTAATTAAACTGATATCCACACATTAATTCTCACTAAAATCTAAATGAACTACGTTACGGCAGCAGTATCCGCACGCATTCGAAAAAAAGAGATTATATTTAATTTTTTGAGAGGTCACGAAGCAAAACGCGTTCGCGACACCATTGTGAAAACACGCCATACTTTAAAAATTCTACTAGAAACTCGTATGCTTACCAGTCCATCTGCTGACAATGTTGTTTACTAGAGCGTCCGCTAGAAAATAGAATCTTAGCTGAACTTTTACCTTAAAATAAATTATATTATGTCTGATCTGTAATCAGAATATCATGCTTGAAAGAAACTCGTACTCCGAGTAGCCGTCAGACTATAGAGATAGTCTGAATATGCCTGTATACGTATGCACATGTGAATGAACGCAGACAAGAACACACACCAACAGAAAAACTCCCTTATACTTCATTCATATCTACTTTTGATACAGCAAATATGAATTCTTTGAGTGATGTTTTCCTTTGAATGTACTAATCGAATATTGCGCCCGTAAAGAAAAGCCGTTCTCGCACTTCACTTCAAAATATTTCTCAGTTCTTAACAACTTCTAGTCTGTATTCAAACCTACTAAATTTCGACTGTTGACGTTTATTCGATGGATCCCAACCATTTAAAGCGGCTCTTCAGAAAATTTTCCAGTGCAGCGGCTAGCCACGAGTGGCACCCCGTAGGGGCGCCGACAAGTGACTAGCCACTGCCACTGCCACTGCCACGTGTAATCCGATTCTTCCTTGAGATAGTCCTCTTTGGTTTACACCATATTAAATTCTAGACTGCTCTTACTTGAAAAAATCGTTAGACTTATAATGCGAGAATTCTCGATGAGCAGCTCCGAACCGACACTTTATTATTAACTATTCTTTATTTCTAAAACCTAATTGTCTAGCTGAAAGTTTAGAGTTTTATAAGAGTTCCTGATTCAGGAAATCTTAGTGCACTATTCTCAATAAATCTAGCTTTCAGATAGATCTTTTTTGAAGCGAAATTAGCGAGCCTTTGCAGTATTAGCCATCAATCGTTCGACGGCGCCACTCATGGTCACTCACTCGATTATCTGAATACATTAAAACAATAGTTAGTTTTTCTGCCTTTATCATAAAAGTTGTCATCTCATTTTCAAATATCTTTTTTATATTAGCTTTTTCGCGGTATGCAGACTATATAGAAATTACACGAGTGAGAATTCCTGCAAAAATAATGTCAATAATTGAACACTTAGCCAGAATTAAATATAATGAGTGTAGACTTAAATAACGTTAATGTCGGGTCGACTAAAACTAGGCTTTGAGTTTCAGAATTACTAGTGACGTGTATTCGAATGTTGGTAGAACCCTAAATGTGTTTTTTGCATGAATATGATTCTATCCATTATATTTTTCTCTGGCATATATCTACGTCGACAAGCATATCTAGATAAAAGAATCTACAATAAAGCTGATCTGATGCAACTCATCAGCTAAGGTAGAACGCAAACTATCTAAAAAAGTCACTGATGACACATTATTATCACAGAAAATGTGTGATTACACATCAATCCTTCCTCACGACATCAGCTAGTAAGAAAAAAATTAGGAACTCATTAAATTACTACTGGTGGAAAAAAGCTTGACATACCCATAGTCACAAACCAAAAACATTTAAGTCGGTGAACTGGCAACCTAACAAGAGCTTGAAATTTTGAGAAACCCACTTCACATTCGGATTCTCTGACCTCTATTTACTTTCGTCAACCTTTATAAAATATCGTTGTTTTCTCAAAACATCCTTTTCTTCATCCAGCTAATCAAGTCCAACATTTTTAAGATCAAACTTCCGATTCGGATTCCCCAACCCTGAACACCGTTGATCAAACCTCAATCTTTGACCTTCTCTAAGAACATGTTTTTTTGACCTTTGATCTTTGACTCGATGACAAGTATACAAGAATACGAAATTATTTTATTTCATATGACCCTCCCTTCAGTCGATGGAATATTTATCTCACGGTGCAGACTTAAATTAAAATGCAGACGAGATAAAATTTTTAAAAATACTGCTCTTGTTCTTATTAGAAACACTATTCATAATAAGAAATTAATTATTTTTACGCATCGGTTACCAAAATGTTCCTTGATTACTCAACCATAAACTTCCAGCAGTTCTAGGCAAATGAAGACTCCTTATGATGCATTCTGATTATATTAGCGTTTACGTACTTAGGTCATACCAAAAATAGTGAGCCTCGCATCTTAATCTCGTATAAATTGCTTGGAAAAAATTTCTTTTTTTATGAACAGATAGAGCGTCTTTTGCTCTATCTTTCTATGCTATTTGATTACTATTCAACTAATATCATAATAATAAAATTTCCATAAGATTTGTTTCTTTTGCATACGTGCTGGTACCATGGATGCTCATAAGTACTTTTTGAATAACGTTTGATAGCAACAAGATAGAGAACTGCGATTTTCAGTGTTGGAAAGAGGAGATGAAGATGCATCGAACTGTATATTACTGATTTTTCTAATACGATTTCTGAGGTTTTTTTATTCAATTTTCTAATCGTTGAAAAAATGTTTTTTTTTTATGAAAAAAAGAAAAAGCAAAAAAGTTTATAGAAAATCGTAGTTAGAATACATATTATCTCTAAATAATTAAATTTAAACATCTGAGTCTTTCGTAGTTTGTAAATCTTCGATTAGCGGTTTCAATGTGATCCTGATTATTGAACATTCACTGTAAATAACTCACGGGATAGATTTGTTCTTTAAAAGGTCAACTGAAAACCTTACAAAAAACAGGTTAGAAAAATCAGTAATATGCAGTTCGATGTGCCTTCATATCCCCTTTCCAACGGTGAAAAGCGCAGTTCTCTATCTTGTTGCTATCAAACGTTATTCAAAAAATACCCACGAGCATTCATGTTCATGGTATCAGGACACATACGAAAGAAACAAATGTTATCGAAATTTTATTATTATGATATTAGTTGAACAGTAATCAAATAGCATAGAAAGATACAGCAAAAGACGCTCTATCTGTTCATAAAAAAAGAAATTTTTTCCAAGCAATTTATACGAGATTAAGATGCGATGCTTACTACTTTTGGTATCACCCAAGTAGATTTTAGTTCAATGACGAAGTACAGAAAGATTATTAAGCTGTTTTCATGAAGATTCGAGA